CAGGGAGCGGTTTGCATCCCGGCTGGACATCCCCGGAGCTCGGTTATACCAATTTCCAGGCTACGAGCACTAATAAGCTGGGTTATTAATTAGCGGCTGGGGCTGGCTTTGGTTGCTCGTGCTGTTCCTCTTTTCGAGAGCGAGCTCTGTTCCTCCTGCAGGAGGGGGGTTATGGTTGTGAAGTGTTTTGGGGCAGTTCCTCTGTTTTTTCTACCAAACGTGGTGGTGCTCGGAGCGTTCCCGGGGGCTGGTCGTGTTCAATGCCTGAGCTTGGAGCAAACGCTGGTACCTTCTTTAGTCATGTGCCTTTTAATTGTGTAATTACATTCAATGTAAACTTTTTATGACCAGCTATAAATCCAGCTGTGCTGCACGAGGCTTGACGAATTAAAAGTTTTTCAGAGTTTTGGTTAGTTTGGGATATTTTGTGCAGCTATTGCAGCTCCCTCTCACTTCTGTACATTCCTCGTGAGATGAAGTGACCTGTGCATGAAGAAATAGTTCAGTGAGCCACAGCTGTACAAATAAAAAGTGGCAGAAGTGACGTTTGTCTGTGATTTATGATACAAACCTGGCCTAAAGCCTCAGCTAGGAAATGGTGTTTTGTGGGGGGTTTTTGGTTTTTACAGATATGTTTCTAGGTGTGGAGCTCTCACACTCTACAAGTCTGCGTCAATGTTGTAATCAACAGCTTTCCTTTTGGTTGCAAAAGACATCTGAGAAGTATGATAGAGAACAGGTCTTGGTTGTCTTTTAAACAAACACCTCGCATGGTTGTTCACCATCTGCTAATGTCTCTAAGAATAGCAGCTGAAAGACCGAAATTTAGTCCCCAAAGGAGGCGAAAAGTTTGTAATCCAGCTCAATGCCACTTAAGAAATGTGTGCAAAGAGGCATAGAGATTAAATAAGGGAGTTTATCCAGTAAGCAAATGACAGGCTGAGATGTTTACCATTATCTCCTAGGTGGGATAGCTAAACTGGCAGAAGGGAAGGGAAATCCGCGGTGGCAGGAAGGCAGCAGTACCTTCTGCAGCCGAACATCACTGGTACCATCTCAAAGGGCACCCAGGAACCTGACCCAAAGGTGCTGTTGGGAGACACAGGTTCTGCCCAGCTCCCCCAGTGCTCCCGTGTGTTCCTCCATCTGCAGCCTCTTCCCTTCTCAGGGTTTTAGGCAAAACATCTTTGTTTCTCCACGGGGCTGAGCACGCAGCCTGGCTTGTCCCATTTTCTGCTTCTTCACACTGATCAGAACCACCTGGAGGTGCAGGCAGGTGAAAAAAGCCTCAAGGTGCAAAAGATCATTCCAGCCTCTTAATCTCAAATGTCTCTTATCTTTCTTTATGTCCGAGAAAGAACTAATATATGATGCCTTGGCAACTACAGAGATTTTATCCATGTGATAAAATGGCTCAAATTAAGCCAGTAACCTCAACGTGTTCTTCCAGTGCATAGCACGGTGGGTTTTGTTTGCCAGGTCCGCTTGCTCGGTGTTAATGCGGTGATAAGAGTAACAGTAGTAAGAACTTTGTCATTTGTGTCAGATTATCTTGACAGATGAAAACAAGGAACGGGGATCACCCAACTTTTTGCAGAGAATATTGCACTGCCTGCCGCTCCCAAGCAACTGGTTAAAATCAGACCAATGTTCCTGCAAACTTAGTTTTAGCCTTATCTTGGTGATTTTCAAACATTTTTGGAGTGCTGCTCTTTGCATAACTTCAACCTCAAGCCTAAAGTGAAGACCTCGGGCAAGCGACGATGCCAGCGGTGCAGGGTGAAGGCTGGAGCTCCCAGGATCTCCCCGGGGACCCAGGGCTGGGTTTCCTCTGCACCAGGGCAGCAGCTCTGTGTTGGTGGCTGGTCCTCGCAGAGGGGTGGCTGGAGCCACAAGAGGCTGGCGGGGGCAATCGCTGGTGTTCTGGGCTCTCCACCGCAAGCACCCCAGATTCATCCGGGCTGGGGCTGAGGTCTGGGTTCAGCCACCACCAGAACCAGGCATGTGCAGGGCAGGGAGAGGACACGGCTGCAAGCTCTCTGCCTCTCTCTGATGAGCAGGTTATTTGCGATGAGCGTCGCTAGATAAGCTTCACTTACACAAGCCAAGGTGAGCTGTAAGCAATGCTGTACAGTCAGTGGGTTTTGGTAGAGCCGTGCTGAGTCTTGGCTGCCTCTTCTGGCCAAGGACCTCTGTGCAGTCACTTAGTAGGTCACTCACGTGTGTCCACAAATAGCCCAAGGGGAGAAAAAACCCCATCTTCTCTTGTGTTGGGTGTTGCCTTCTCTGCTATCTGTGCTGCCTCGCTGATACCTCTTGAGCTTTAATGTAATTTGTGTGCTGCAGATAAAACAATCCTTTCATTAAGAGCTTAAACTCCAAATAGGTGAAACTGGACTGAAACCTGGAAGCCTTGAGCATCCCAGTGTGGTCTGGAATTCCCAGTATATCCCAGAGAGAGACTGGGGGAGTCCTTCTACTCTAGTGCTGCCAGACTATTTTCATGGATGAAAATCTGTCCCATTTAACATGGGTTTTGAGCATATACATAGTGTAGGTTCTCAACTGCTCTCGTCCCAGCTGTTGCTTTCATCCTTGTTTTTGTTCAAGCCGTGTTATCTCCGTCTGCGTGTATCCTGGAGTTCTGATCATGGGGGTTTGCATGGGCTCACGCTGCAAGTGAGATTCTGTGTATGAACCATTAGAAACTGAAAATGAATGGGAAAAATATGTAAATGTGTATTTTCCTCTTAATTTACTTTAGGACAACCCAAATTAAGAGTGTCCTGTCTCACTGCACTCAAATACCAAAAGGAAACTATAAAATTTCACGAAAGACTGGCTGAGCAGATGGGAAAACCCTCCCTAGCCGCAGGGTTTGACGGCTCTGGAGACCCCCAGACCTGCTAGTGTAAATCAAAGCAATGCACAACAGCAAACGTGAGAAGAAACCCTTTGCTAAGGAGTTACCTTGATAGTGCAGATGTCTCCAGACCAAGAGCTTTGTCCTCCTTGGCATGAGCCTCCCTGCAGCATCCCGCCCCATCTGCTGGGTGTCACAGCAGCAGCAGGGTCTGTGCCCAGGGAAACAGAGTATCCTCTGTGCTACAGCCATGCTTCTGTTCCTCAGATAGCAGAGGCATTATATTTTCCAAAGGACATTTATTATACAATTTTTTTAAAACTTACTATGTTAATAATAATGTTACATGTGAGCAGAGGAGAGCAGTGCAGAATTTTGGGACCTGATAGATGTCTGGTTGGGCACTGAGCATCCTCTGGCTTGGAACAGTCTTCTACCTTCTGTGCAAAGGATTTGGGTTTTTTTAAACTTTGTTTAAACAGTTTACTGTTTCAGTAACCTTCTTGCAGACTTTCTCCTGTAGTGCCCTGTCTTTATGCAGGCAGGAGCGCAGGTAGGCAGCGTGAGGCAGGATGGAACACTCATTAGGGACCAGACCTGGTCTTTATGTTTTAAATTGCATGGTGCTATCGCCACCTTCCCTATGCCTCTCTGCTGTTTTAATAACTGTTTTGTGAGGAGTTAGAGCTTTTTGGTAATTCAGTGGAAGAAGGATGCCACCAGTATCGAGGACTTACACATATGTGCCTCTCATTTCACATCACCATTTGTCGGTACCAGGTTAAGAAATGTGGCCGTAGTGGATGGTTATAATAACATGGATTTGTGCAGATCCACATCCCTTCCTAGCTGTTTTACCCTATATGAGGGAGATGACAGGTTTTCCTCCTCTTTAATACTCACATTTTATTTTCATGTGCTGTTTACATAACTCACCTGAGTTTTTCATCCTTAGACCTGACAGTTCTCACCAGGCAGGATCGGTGCCTCAGCCGGGCGACATGACAGCGCTGTTCGATAACCTGTCATGCCATCACGCCATCGATGACTTCCGAAACAGAGTCTACTCCACGCTCTACTCCATGATCAGCATCATGGGCTTTGTCGGCAATGGCGTGGTGCTGTACGTCCTCATAAAAACCTACCGGCAGAAGACAGCCTTCCAGGTGTACGTGCTGAACCTCGCCGTGTCTGACTTCCTCTGTGTCTGCACCCTGCCCCTGCGGGTCACCTACTACGTCCACAAAGGGAACTGGTTCTTCAGTGATTTCCTGTGCAGGATCAGCTCGTACACGTTTTACGTTAACCTGTATTGCAGCATTTTTTTCATGACGGCCATGAGCTTCTTCCGTTGCATCGCCATCGTTTTCCCAGTCCAGAACATCAACCTGGTAACGGAGAGGAAGGCCAAATTTGTCTGCGTTGGCATCTGGATTTTTGTCACCCTGACAAGCGCTCCCTTCCTGCGGAATGGGACATACCAACACGGCAACAAGACCAAGTGCTTTGAACCCCCAGAAGACTCTCAGAAGACAAATCTAGTCATGATCCTGGATTTTATTGCCCTGTTTGTGGGCTTCATTTTTCCCTTTACCATCATAACCATCTGCTACACCATGATCATAAGGACCTTGCTGAATAATTCCTTGAAGAAGAACCAGGCCAACCGCAAGAAGGCAGTCTGGATGATCATCATCGTGACGGCCACCTTCCTGGTCAGCTTCACCCCATACCACATCCTGCGCACGGTCCACCTCCACGCGCTGCGGCTGAAGAACGCCAGCTGCGAGGATGCTGTGTTCCTACAGAAATCGGTCGTGGTGACCCTCCCCTTGGCAGCTGCCAACTGCTGCTTTGACCCTCTTCTTTATTTCTTCTCGGGGGGCAACTTTCGGAAGAGACTTACCACATTTAGGAAGGCGTCTTCCTCCAGCTTAACGCAAGCTTTCAGGAAGAAGTTCTCCGTCAAAGATGAGGAACCCTTTGGAGAAAGCCATGGGGGGAACGGAAAGGCGGCCGTGACCCCTTCATAAGGGGGATGGACCTTCCCCTGAGATCTCGGATGGGCAACAGAGATCTCTGAAATCTTCCAGAAGATATGATGGAGGTTTGCAAGCCTTTGCCGCCATTCAATATGTAATAATAGCAGTGGATCGTCCATGATTTATGTCACTTGGTGGTACAGCCACCAGCGGGATGGGCAGCCCCCTCCCCAGGAGCATCACTTGGACACGCACAGCTGCTTAGCACAGAGGAGCCACCGCCAGCCAGCACCAGAAAACTGTTAAACTGATGATAAACTCACATAAACTCTTCAGAGGCTGTATTTGAGCATTTGCTTCATTTCACAGCTCTACAAAGAGCATTCATTCCCTGAGCCAGTGGGAAATGTAAACACGACGTTCGCTGTACACAGGGAGCTCCTGACAAATAAGGAGGGCAGAGCTTTCGCTGAACCTTCAAACAGCCGCTCGGTTATTTACACAGGAGGGGCCAGGATCATGCCCTGTTCCCAGCTGCTTCTGCTTTGGATTTCAGTTTTCATGATAATTGTGTGTGTAAGGCTTGCAGGGTTGGTGCCTGGGGCTGGGACTGAGCCCCTCTCCCACCCCCAGCGAGCAGCTCCTTGGATGTGCTCTCCTGGGCAGCAGATCCACCAGCATTTTCTGAATTTCTAGAAAAATCTTGTCTGTGGGAGCAGTTTTAAAATGGCAGTATCCTAGTGTGCACTGGAAATGTATTTCCATGGGACTGGTCCTTAAGGGATGGTTTCAGCGTCTGGATTATCACTCCAGTTCTTTAGGTTTTACCTAAACGTTGACCTCTGGGTGCCCAGAGCTTGGTGCAGGATCAGACCTGCCTTTCTGAACTATTGACCAAGTTTTTTAAGACTATAATTATCCTTGAGGTCTTTTCCAACCTCAATGATTCTATAAAAAAAAAAAAAGCAAAAGTCATTTTAAAAAAAAATCTGCATATGATATTTGATCCTGTTCAGGAGTATTCATCTTGCTCACGCCATGCAGAAGAGAGGCAAGCCAGGGCTCTTGGGAAGATCTCCAGGGAGAGCTGGAGATCGAGAGTCCAGATAAGCCATGAGTGAACCTTTTATTTTGAGTACGGTATGATGCAAAAAACAGATTTGGTTTTGTTTCTTATATAAAGAAAAACTTCAAAATCTTGGAGGGAAGGAAACATTCCAGTGCTTTTCCAGCGAAGCCAGGGAAAAGCGGAGCTGCCTGCCTCTCGCTGGAGCAGAGCCCAGCCCCAGGCGCGCGATACGTCGCGACAGAAGTAGGAATTGGTGTAGGGTTAAGGCTTTTAGTTGGAGAAGGGGTTGATAAGTGAATAGCAAGTATGTTTTGATATGGTATTTATGAAGTTTTGTGATGTTTTCTTAATTAAATCAGTTTTAATACGGTAGAGTAAGAGTGAGCAAAAGGAGTTTGGCTTGGGGGCAGGTCTGCTTGAGAAATTATGGAGACACAGAAGAGTGTTAAGGTCACTCTTTACACCACTGTCTGTTAATGGGTCAGCAAAAGGGGCTTAAAATTCACCTACAGAGCAACGAGATCTGAAACCCCATTAGGAAATGTTAAGGGTCCGTAGGTGGAGGAGGTCTGAAAGCTGTTCATGTGTGGTACAGTTCCCCCCAAACCCACGGGAGGGCAGAGCTCGTGGCTCGGTGGAGTCACTGCACAGTGCTGTGAGGAAAGTGTGTGCAAGAGGAGAGCTGGCTACTTCTTTCCAGGGGTTAGCACTGGGTGTTGTACTCATGTCTCAAAAGGCATTGTGCAGCTGTAAATAGAAATCATCGTGGAAAATGGAGTCTCGGAATATGTAGAAATATTATGCACATCCCCACATTTTAAAATACTGCACAGTAAAGCTTATATATATATGATGTTGCAAAGCATTTTTATTGTAGCAGAGGTATTTTTTTCCTTTTTATTTTTAATGAGACGATGGCTATGGCAACGGAAAGGGCAGTGTTTAAGGCTATTTAAGAAAAGATTGCTGAAAATTAAATTAAAATATTGCAAGTTCAAAGTTAACAATTACTGTTTTCTGTGTCTTATTTTAAAGTCTCTGCATACAGATTTTTCTTCCCTACAATACATTTTTATCTACACACAGCACTAGAGCATAATGTTCACATCATAATAATTTATAATGCTGAAATAAAAACGTAATCAAAGCAGCCCAGAAGTTGCTGAGGGCAGCACCTGGAGCGGGCTGAGATGCTGGGGGATGCGCTGGCCCAGCCTCAGAGCTGGAGTTTGGTCCAGCCCAAGTCGCTGTAGCTCAGGGCACGGGCTGGGGCTGCTGCTGGGGGGCTTGTGGGAGCCAAACCATTTCATTTTCATGTAGAAAAGTGCCACCTCGGGTTTTGCTCAGGAGTAGGGACCTGGAGATAAATAGGTGCCAAGAAACAGGACCTGGTACCGTCGTGGGGCAGGTTAGAAATTGTGGCGTTTGCATGGGCTGCAAGAGCTGGCAGGAGGTGGGGAGGGGGACGAGGGGCTGTCCTGGTGCAGTGTTGGAAATGCCTGATAAAGGAAAATGAGGTGTTCAGTTTCTTGCTAGAAACTGGACTTTTTTCCGCTGTGTGCGCTGTGATTTCTGGTACAACAGTGTCCCCCAGTGCTGAGCTATCCCAGAGCAGCTGCCTGATGAGGTTTCTTGGTTCTGTTTTTTAAACGGCGCAGCCTCAGCTCCTCGCCTGTGACGTTGTCCTCTTTCCTCTGCTCTCACTCGTGCTCAGTTCCCCCTCTCCCACCCCAGCCCGCATTTTATTTCATCCTCTTTGAGTTTTCCCCCCCATCACCCATCCTGGTTTTCCTTGTCTCCCGGAGGGATGCTCATGCTGGGAAGGAGCCAGGCACGGATGGGGTCAGTGCCTCCCAGACTCAAACCTTGCCCCTTCTCGGAGGACGGGTTTCAGGATGGACTTCTGTGCAAGCAGAGAACCAGCTGGGCTCTGTTTTGTCTTCATAGCTGGTGAAAATGTGCTTTTATTTGTGCTCATTTCCAGAGAGGGTCCAAAGCAGCCACCTGCTGCCAGCAGCTAACCACAAACTAGATTTCTGGTTGCAAAAATAAAGCAAGCTTTCTGTTTCCACGAGAACAGTACAAACCTTGGTTTCTAATAACTCCTGGCTGCTCTGCACCCCTTTCCAGCAGCTGCTTGATCTGGGCATCCCCCCAGCAAACCCACCACAGCTCCGCTCGGACGTGGTGCAGGTGCTGTGCAGAGGATTTTCAAGCAGGAATCTCACTCTTGGCTGTTCTTCATGTTCTTCTTCAGCAGCAGTGAATGGTCTGAGCCTGACTGCAGGAGAAGAGGGCACTTTGTGATTCCTCTTGGCACCCCCCCAAATCCTGGTTACTCCCTGGGAATATTGAGTTTTGGGGAATTTCTCTCCTCACATGCATGTATGTGCTTGAACACACTATAAATCACAGAAGATAAAATACTTCTAATAGTGGCAGGTCTATCTCACTTAGAAGCCTTTAGGGGTCTTTTTTTCCTCAGGCTGTAAAAATATTTCCTTTTTTGTGATCCTACAAGTTGTCATTTGGGTTTTTTAACCCCACACCATTTTTTTTGCCTGTGACGGGGCCAAATTCCAAAGCCACAGGCTGGGAAATTCAGAAACAACACCCAGGACATCACCACCCTTGTTCTATTTGAAGTGTCCTCGTTAAAACACTTGCAGGATGCGAGAATCAAGCAACCCTTTGGTTTAACAAGCAATAAACTCCAAGCGCTGGCAATAACAAGATTTCCTGCTCTGAGCGAGGTGCTTTCTGCTCCCCACCATCTGTGGGACCTTGGGCACCTATTTTGGGGCTGGGGGGCTCAGACAGGGGGCTACTGCCTGAATCCCCCCCACCAGCAGCAATAGGGCTCTGGGCCCCCTGCAGGTCCCTGAGCGGGAGCTAATTCTCATGCTGGATCCTAATTTAGCAATTTTTATTTTTTTTTCCCAATTTCCACTGCAGTCTGACACAAGAAGAGGGACTTCTTCCATACGGCAGCAGGGAGAACACTGAGCTCTTTATCCTTCCCGTACAGCAGCGGAGGGTATGACCTGATTACTAGGGGGAAAAGATAAGCAGCGAAAATGATGGAAGGTACATCAGATTTTAAAATACAGTGTAAGCAATAAAATGTCTTGGAAATGCTACTGAAAGCAAAGCTGGGGGATGAAGAGCCCGGCCCGCTGCTCAGGGCTACAAACCCACCTCCAGCTGATGGGGGACTCAGCCCTGCTTCTCCCAAACTCTTCATCTCAGCTCTGCGAGTGGCCATACGCGCAAACAAAAATGTGGAGTATTTGCAAACTTCACTCGAGGGTGCAACGTGCCCGTTTCTTTCCCATCAATGAGGATTCTTACGCTTCAGAGGAGCAAAGTAGCTCAATAAATACATTCCAGCTGGATGCTCACCAGGTTTGGGGGGGGGGGGTGAAAGGGAAAAAAAAACTCCCTTTTGTGGAGGCAGCAAAACCACCCTGGTTTGGTCACTAATGAAAATTCTGCTTTCAGGAACGCTACTGTGTGTCTCTGATAGGGATGCTGAAGACTAAACAGAGTTTGGTTTTGGTTTAGCTCATTGAAATCCCTTTATTTACGGCAAGCGCATCTCTGTGATGCTCTGCTGGAGTTTAACAAGGCTGCAGGCAGCCCCCGTGACCCCCCCCCCCAGCTAAGGCCATGCAGGACCAAGGGCAAAAGGCACCGCGCTGCCCTGTGTAACCATTTCAGGAATCGCTCTCTGCACGAGGTTTCTGCAGATATTTTGTCTAGTGAGCCCATGCCTGGGGTGTGCAAATGGCCAACTCGAGAGCTGCTGGCTGTGGCGAGCGGTTATTGCAAAAGGCGAGCGCGTAGCCGGGCTCTGCTGAAGAATTGCATCAATGGCAGGAGTCCGCCGAGACTCTGTTTCCTTTCTGAGTAACACCCCAAACGAGGCAGTCCCTGTTTCTGCCCTTTTTCCCCTCCGCATTACTCACGGCAGGAAGCCCGC